CACCTATACAGTAAGGAGGTCTGTGTTACAGGAAGTTGATCTAATCCTTTTTACAGGCAAAAGTCTGTCTCTACAAGTCAATACAATGAGACAATTCCAAGGTATTTTGGTTTGATTTGGTGGTATTATTTTCTATACTTCGTGCTCCTTATTGCGGTTCATGGTCCCCACAATTGGCTTCTTTTTTATTATTGTTATTGCTACCATTTGCAAACCCAGGGCCTTACACATGTAAGCACTAAACCATTGAGCTACATTTCTAGGCTTTGGTTTGATGGAGCTCAAACTGGCCTTGAACTCATGATCTAACTGCCTCTGCTTCCTGAATGCTGGGATTACAGGCATGGGCAACCATAACCAGTTAGCATAAATACTTGATGGATGCTTTGATTATCCTTATATCTTCCATTCATGACTTCTCAGTACTACATGGAAGAACTCTTTAGCTCTCAGTAGTCTTTTGTAATTCTTGGAACTCCAGTTCCAGAAGAACGGTCTATGTGGTCTGTTGTTCTGAAACACTGACCTCAGGTTTGGTCCTGGAAATGTTTGCTTACACACTACTTCCAGGGGCTTAAGGAGGAGACAAAAATAGATAATTAAAAAGCTTGAGTGAGCGCTCTCATTCAGTCCTTGGTCAGATTTCCTACCTGGGTGCCTAAGGAATAGTGAATGGGCTTAGTGTTCACAGAACCACAAAGCACAAGGGATTCTGGGAAGGTAAACAGCATCTGCCAGTCTATTTACCCCCACTGTCTCCATGTGCTGTGAGCATTTTTCGCACTGATAGAGGTCATGATGGGTTAGCTTACAGTACTGATTAAAAGCTTGATTTTCAGTCAGCCTGGGTTCAAATCCCAGCTTTTCATTTACACAAATTAATGGCTAACTGCTTCAAATCTCAGAGTCTCTGCCTGTAAAATGACAGCAAACCCTCTTATTTCACAGACTTGAAAATAGAAGCAAGCTCATCTTGTCATATTTTATTTTGTCATGGTTGGTTGTTATCTGTTAGAAGCCTGTTCTTTTCTAATGAGAGACACAAAGGGGGCAGACTGGAGGAGAGAGAAGGCTGGGGAGGATCTAGGAGGAGTAGCGGGATGGGAAACTATAATCAGGATGAGAAAAAAATCTATTTTCAACAAAAGGGGGGAAAAGGAAAATAAATAAACATTTTTTTAAAAAATGTTTTCCTTTATAAGAGTTGCTTTGGTCATGGTGTCTCTTCACAGCAATAGAAACCCTAAGACACCAGGTATCTTGGTTTGCTTCCTGTTGCTGTAATAAACTCCATGGTCAAATCATTTTAGAAGAGGAAAGGGCCTATTTGGTTACATTTCCAGTTACTAGACCATCTTTGGAGGAAGTCAGAAAGGAAGTGAAGGCATGAACCTGGAAACAGAGGTTGTGGGGGATCACTGTTTACCACTGCTCAGCTACCTTCTTGCATAGTCCCACCCAGGATGATACTGCCCACAGTGTGCTGGACCCTTCCACATCCGTCATCAATAAAAACAGTTCTTTACAATATGTGTGATCCCAGTGTTCTGGAGGCTGAGGAAGGAGGGCTGTGGTAATTCAAGGTCAGCCTGAATATACAGTGAATTCTAGGCTAACATAGATTGAGGGTTAAACCTTGTCTTAAATTAAAAGAAAACAAAAGATAGTCAGAAATTACTCATACCATATCTGAGATGAATTGTGTTATAAAAGTCCACTTATTTTCTTAAAATAAGCTACAAATATTTATGGCAGCTATTGAAACACTATTGTGGGCTTTATCTTAAAATGTGAAACAGAAAATTAGAAAAGTAATTCAATTTTGATTTACAAAATGTCCATTGTATTTGAAACTAGTGTTAATTCTCAAAATGAACAAGGACTGAATCAATATGAATTTTTTCAGTGTGTGTGTGTGTGTGTGTGTGTGTGTGATATGTTGTTTGCATATGTGTATATAAGTGTGCTTCCATGTGTATATAAGTATGGCCAGAGGTTTACACCAGGATGTCTTCCTCAATAACATGCTACCTTGTTTTTTCGAAGTAGAGTCTCTGACTGTGCCTGGAGCTCACCATTTCAGCCAAAATGGGCTGCCAGTGACCCTAGCTGTTTGCAGCTTTTATGTAGGTTTTGGGGATCTGAATGCAGGTTCTGGATCTACCCCCTCAGCCATCTTCCCAGCCCCAGTGTAACCTTCTAAAATATAATCTTCCTGACATAGCCACATAATAAACTACAAATCTTCTTTTTACTTTTGACTCTCACTGCTGCTGTTTGTCTCTGGAGTGGTCCCCAAGGGCCTGTGTGTCAAGATCCTTAGCCCAGGGTGCTCCTGTGAAGTGGTAGGACCTTCAAGAGGTGAAGTCCTGTGAGAGGTAACTGAGGGCATACCCTTCTCCTAGCAGGCGTGTGGGTCCTGGTCCCTTCTTATTTCTTGTACTTTTTCCTCCCCATACAATAGTGGTTCTCAACCTGTGGGTTGCGACCTCTTTGGGGGTTGAAGGACCCTTTCACAGAGGTCATCTAAGACACATCTGCACATCATATGATTCCTAACAGTAGCAAAATTACATCTATGAAGTAGTAGTGAAAATAATTTTATGGCTGGGGAATCACCACAGCATGAGGAACTGCCTTTTGTTTTGTTTTTTGTTTTTGTTTTGAGGAACTGTCTCAAAGGATCGAAGCTTTAGGAAGGCTGAGAACCACCACTTTACAGGGTGAGCAGTTTGACTCCTCCCTCGGGTTTCTGTTGTGATACACTGCCACAGGCTGGAAGCAGCACAGCCAAGTTAGTCACAGATTGAACAAAACCTCTAAAAAGGTAAGACTAACCCTCTCTCTTTGTAACTTGATTGTTGCAGGCATTTTTTGTTTGTTCATTGGGTGTAAAGCTAACAAAATCACTTTTGGAAAAGCGCTATAGGGGTTCATTTGTTTCACAGGCTTCTGTTAATACTTTGGAATTAAAAATAATCCTCTCGAGGTAGGAGTGTCCCTCAGAGGTAGAACACATGCTTAGCATGTGTCAAGGCCCTGGATCCAACCCAAGGGAGAGGAGAGGACACAAAGTCACTGTGACTTTTCATCAGTTGTTCACTGAGGTAGCCCATCTAACGTCATTTATTGCATAAAGCTCATTGTTGTCTCTTTTTTGTCAGCATTTTTCCATACACACACACACACACACACACACACACACACACACACACACACAATTCTGGATCTTTTATAGAGCTAATGCCTTTTAAGTGACTGTGTTGGAATTTATGGTATACTTTTAGAGGCTTACAAGGTTAATGGATCAACCAGAGAAGAAGCAGCAAACACTAGATACCAATATTCTGCACAATGCATACCAATTTCCCAAGTGGTCAGTTCACTGGTAGCTTTGTGCATGTTTCCATGACTTAGATCCTTTGTGCAACCAGGCAACATCAGAAGGGGTCTCACATACTCGGGTGAAGAGGACCCCTGGCCCCTCACTCTGCTATCCTTCAGACAATCTACCCACTGGACTGTTGTCTCTCACCAGCTCCCTTCTGTTCTGTCCTGTCTTGTCCTAATTGCATCCTAAAACACCAGAAACTGACCCCTCGCATGTGAAGTGTACTCACACCTTCAGAGGTCCCTTGAGTCTGTCTCAAATTTAACACATTAAACATCTCAAGACATTTAAGGTTTATAATTTTGGTTAGAACTGTAGTTCCAGGTCAAATATGTGTTTTTAAAAGCAAATAACATGGTCCTTAATAAACCTTTTCAATCACATGGTGAAATCTTCTTTATGTGTGTCAACAACAGAATGATCCATGTTAGAACCTTTTACTTTTAAGAATACAAACATGGCCATTAGTCTATAAATTAAGAAAAGAAAATACTTTTAAATGTTTATGCTCAAGCAGTTTTTCTATTTATGCATGGTTAACACTGATTTATTTTATCTTATTTTTTTAAATCCTACAAATGAAAGTTTTAGGCATGAAAAAACTCCAGACCATTGCTAGGAAAATGAATTGAGCAATATTTTCACTTTAGAACTCCAAACGGTGACTTTGTAATAACTATTATCTACCAAGTCTTGAGTTTTATGATAGCTTACTCTGGAAATGTGTATAAAACAAACAACTTATTTTCCTCCGTCTCATTTAAAAAAGTTTTTTTTTTTTTTTTTTTTTTTACTAAGTTGAGGGTGTAAGTTTCAGAATATAATGGAAGATGCCAAATTCTGTAATTCCTTTTACAAAAATGTCATACAGGGTGTGGTACATTTAGGGAATTTTTTTTAAAGTTGTAATTCCCAGGGAGGTTTTTGTTTTGTTTTGTTTTGTTTTTGCCCCTGCTTTTCAAAAACAATGCTAAGGCAGGGAGGGGCTAGAGAGATGGTTCAGCAATTAAGAGTTCCAGCAACTCCTCCAGAGGACCAGGGTTCAATTCCCTTCGTCCACGTGGTGGCTCACAACTGGTTGTAACTCTGGTTCCAGGGGAATCTGATGCCCTCTTCTAGCTTCTCTAAACACTACACACACAAACAGAGCACAGATAAACATACAGGCAAAACACCCATACACGTAAAAATAGATATTTTAAAATTATTTAAAATGCTGAGGCAATCTAAACTCTAGAAGGGGCTTTCCAATGATTAGACTATTGCTTGTAGTCAGTTATTTGCTGACTTCTTAACATTACAAACGTGTGTGTGTGTGTGTGTGTGTGTGTGTGTGTGTGTGTGTGATGTGCGCGCCCACAGAAGCCGGAAGAGGGTATTAAATCTCAGGGAGCTGAAGTTTCAGGTGATTGTGAGCTGCCTAACTAACATGGATGCTGGGAACCGAACTTGGGTCCTTTGAAAGGACAGCAAACACTCTTTAACCTCTGAGCTGTTCCTTCCGCCCCAGAGCTGGGGTCTTGATAAGTACTGCGTTGACTTTTTTTCCTTACCAACGTGAAAATAATTAAAAGGAACAACACTGACGAAGCCTCAAACTTAAGTTTACCTCCCATGAGTGTCGAATCCATTCTGCTCTTGTTGGTCTTGGTGATGTGCTACAATAAAGGTATGAAATTTTTCTGTCATTAAGTAAAGCCTCGATGCCACAAGGACAGAACTGTTCTCCGAAGTGTGTAAATATTTTAACTCATCAATAAAGTTTCCTTTCCCAGCCGTTGGGGCAACTCTTCAAATAACGGAGATGCCCGCAGAGAAACACCATTTTCAGAGCCTAACGTGGGTGGTGAGATGAGAAGGTCTGCCATTTAATGACAAGTCACCCACAAATCGCTTGCTTGGAAACGCATATTGAAATCTGCCCACAAAAGTATGTCTCTGGCCATTGTTACACTCCCGTGAACATAGTCTCCGGCGTGTGTGTGTTTAAAGCAAGAATGAGGGCTGGAGCCGGAGGTCCACTATGGAATGATCATTTTACTTGTCCCTTGGGGGCTGCAGTTCCAAGAAGACAAAGGAGGAGGGGGGCTTCCCCAGCAGGCCCGCTGTGTTTTATTTAAAAGCAAGCTGGGGGCAACACCCCACCCCCGAGAGTCAAGGCTGGCCCTGGGTACCTCTGGCGGGGTTCCCTTCCCCCGCGGGCCCCCCCCGGGCCCAGCCGCCG